TAACCATTCGCGCGATATTCCTGAAAATAAACCAACCTAAATATCAGGTGATGTTCTGTTGCCATGGAAACTGATCCCGTTTCTCCATATTAAGTTTAAATGAGCTCTGCCAAACAAGTACCATAGAAACAAATGACTTGTTATAAGATGTCTGAACTGATGCGGCTTCCTGGTCGTCTGTGGCTTGCCTGGAATCACCGGCTTTGACGGGGGGGGGGGGGGGTACTTTTGCTATTAAATGCTCCAAAGGACCCGGAACGGGGGTAGAAAGAGAGACGGCTACAGGAAAAATAGGAAGATTAGAAAACAAAGCAAAGAATAAAGAAAACAGGAAGGCGACGTTAGTAATAAAAAGCTTGGGGGGACCAAAGAACGCAGGAGAAGAATAAAAAAAGCAAAAGAGAAAAGTTTTCGATCGGAAAACTTCATGGCTTGGCTATTAAAGAAGATGGCCTGGGGTGAAATGTGGTGGTGGGGGGAGGGGGGCGGTAGAACCATAGAACAATTTGGTGGGACAATGGGCAGAAGGATGAATTGAATAAAGCGGGACAGGAATATATCCCACGTCCATATCACAAAACTAAAACTGAAGATTACACAAAAGATTACGTTTAAACGTAAACCATAAAAGAAGATAAAGGCGAAGTATTTCAGGAATAAAACATAGAAACCATTACTTTATAGATTTTGAGAATTGTGGTCTTCTGGGTAGTCCTTGCAGGATGCAAACAAAAGTTCAGGAGAAACGCACGCGTCGTCTACATTATCCTCCGATACGATCGCAACCATTTTGAAGTCTACGCGGCTTCAAATCCGAAAAACACGACAGCCCACATTTTTACTGCCTTCAGAATCTCAAATCACATACATTATTATTACGTCAATGTTCATAGGATTTGTGTACAGTATTTATTTATTTATTTCTTATCCTGGTGAAGGAACATGAATATACTATGAGCTACTTCATGTATTCGATGTAATTTTTACCATATAGGGATAGCATCTACAAAACAGAGAAAATTCGAAATCAAAAGTTTCTAAATAAAGTCAACTTCCTGAAACAATACGGTAATTTGTTAAGAACTCTATTAAATTAGGCCTACTATTGTAAATAGGTTCATATACAAAACAGTAATTTTCTTTAAAAAAAGCACAATCATTACTGACTTATTATTTAACACTAATTTTACTTCGGCAATATTTCAACTAACTAACCGACTCCCTGGTAGCAAAACCCGCAGGTCCAACACCGACAACACCAGAGCCCGCCACCGGCCACGATCCTGAGCCAACTCCATCCATTTACCATCCTCACAGCCTACCTCCGTAAGATCCTACTTGACATTATCTTCCCATCTCCTTCTTGGTTTACCCAGTGGTCATTTTCCAGACGGATTTCCCGCCAAAACTCTGCGTGCCCAGCAAATCGGAGCCTCCTATATTTCATTATCCTCACTACGCTAGGTGACCCGTACAATTCACTTGGATCCTCGTAATGCAATATTCAAAAATTCCCCACTTATTTCATCCTTCCGAGGTCCATATATCTTCCTGGGCGCCATATTTTTCTGCATTATTCTTTCAAGGTAAGAGACAAAGTAATATTTCAACATTAACTTAAATTTCATGGACATTTCTGTAGGATTTAGATCTGACAGTCTTGAGACAAAATTAAATTCCTCCAGTGTAGACATTCGATTTCAAATAAAATTTAAATTTCTTCAGTAGTTTAAGAGATGATACACGTGGGTGAGGACACTGAAACGATATCCCTGTAAGCTTTAACTTCATTAACTGTGACCCGATAACACCAAATTTCCTAGCAAGAGAAACGTTGTAAGACTTGTTACTAACTGCATGAACTCAATAAGCCAATGCGTGGTTTAAAAATGAAAAATTACACGTGTGCGGACCAACTACACATTTATACAGAAGTACCTTATGAATAATACACTTAAATATCTTCGATCTTTCATAGACGTGTTTACGTAACTTAAGTCTGATGTTTAGTTAAAATTTCAAAATGCAGACCCTATAAAATAAACCGAGCTACATCGACGCTCGTAACACTTATAAATTAGTCAAAAAGTTCTTTAAGCGCAAAATATAAATAGCCTATTTATGGGGGCGGAATTTGAAGTAACCATCCAGGATATTCATATTGCAAATGTCACAGTAACTTTAGAGCAGACGATAAACACATGTTAGTAAGACAATCTACGATTATTATCTAAATTATTTCAATGTTCCATTTGTCAGAGTTTGAAATATAAACTCTATTTTTGTAACTACTGAGCTGGTAAGAAACTTATATATCGATCTTCTTCAAAACTTTCTACAGTCGATAAAAACGCCAAGGATTTAAGACATGGATAGACAAACTTTCCAGTAAGAGGGGCCACAAAATACATCCGAAATTCTTTATTCGTCAAGAGTAAAAATACGTTAATAAATCAAAGTAATTCCGGTGGCTGGGAATTTGACTCGATTTCTCGCAGTTACTTGTTTAGTAGAAAATGTACAGACAGAAGTGATGGGAATTATTATTCCCACTTTATTTGAGCTTAGACCATATCAAATTTTATCGTCTTCCTCAATAAATACTGATCATGATATTATATATTAACTTATTAGTGTTTGCCTGTCATAGGCTCTTTGCTGTTGGCAAACACTTAACAAAGTAATTTAACTATTATTATTATTATTATTTAGTATTATTTATTTTATTTAGAATTATTAAATTGAATTATATTACTTAGGTATCGTATTTAGCCCATTTATTTGTGAAATATAATTCAATAAATTAATGTAATTATTATTATTATTATTATTAATAATATGGTACATTTATATATTTAGTTTAATTTGTTTATTTTACTTTTATTATTATTGAAATAAATTAATTACTTATATTTTCCTGTACACTGGTTTAGTGCTTGGCTGTTACGTATTGGCGTTCTTGGCTGTTGTCAAGCACTTAATTGAATTGAATTGAATTAGACTAAGTCTTTTACCAAACTCCATAAGTGATACGGCAACCCTACTTACCACATATTACTTTACGTTTTCTAAGCTAAAAAAACAGAACCATGACAGGTAGAAACAACTGAAGAAAGTTGTTGGCGAAACCAAAAACTGGGTCTGAAGGCTACCAGCACCGAAGAAACGTGAAACAGGTTTATTGGAGCATACCTCAAAGGGGGCCTTAGCTTCTACAGGGCCCTTCTCGGTATTCTTCGATCATGACCCCAAGGTCATACAAAACTTTTTTCGATATGATACTACACAAATAAAAATTATAAAATATCACTTTGCTGTGTAAATAACTGACAGCTTGCACCAACATCGACAAGCATTATACCTAATAGCGGTCTAAAACACTGTATGAAGTCTTAAGAGTTTATCGTAAGAACAACAGCTGACAAGCAGAAAAGAATCGAGTATCTTTTCAAATACTAATACCGTACTCACCAGCATTTTATCTCGGGGATAATTTATGCTAAGCGGAAAGAAAGAACGCCTTGTCAGCGGTTTCTCGCCTTTCTACCTACGACACACAGTAACATGAGAAGACTTCTCAAAAGACTAATCTCATTCGAGTATTT